CTATAGGGTGCATGTGCTTGACAGAAAGACAGAGAGAAACAGAGAGACAGAAAGCGAAAACTCACGCCCAGGGGGGATGGCCACGCTGCAATCCCTTCTCCTCCATTCTCCTCTCAGGATCTTGGGCACACACGCACAAGCGCCCGGCGTGAGTTTAAGCCACCAGGTCCGGGACTCGAACCACAGTCAACTACATGGGAGTCCAGCAACTGATCAAAAAATATATCAAGCAGCTTTGGAAGGGGGTGGATATAAAGTTAGAAGCTCTGAGTCATGAAAACATCAGATAACACTTTTGAAAGGTGTAACTTTATTTAAAACCGAGCTGTTGTGAATTCTATCATGCCGCAGACACCTCTGCACCAACCATCTTGGTCGGCACATTGTTATGCTGACAAATTCTCACACCGACTGAAAATTTTCATTTTGTAAACAAGTCAGTGGATTCCTGATGGTCTAGCTCATACTCTGAGGAGTTTTGGGAAGGGGAATCCAGGTTTGAGAGACCCTCTACAATCCACTTCTCACATAGTCAAAGCAGATTCACATATTTATCACCCAGTCAGGGAGTCGCTGTGAGTAGCAAAGTCGTATTAAGTCCAATAATGTTCCTCAAGTCTAAGACGTACACACTGCTGGCTTCATTGGCTAGATTCCCTGAGACAGAGTGGTATGGTGTGCTAACTTGGTCTTCTTCACAGCACTAGGGCTCTGTCGCCTCTTCTATCCACTACAGGGCACACTTAGAATAGTGGTCCAGCAATTTTGTTTTGTTTTTGAGAGGTTTTTACTATAGGGTGCATGTGCTTGACAGAAAGACAGAGAGAAACAGAGAGACAGAAAGCGAAAACTCACGCCCAGGGGGGATGGCCACGCTGCAATCCCTTCTCCTCCATTCTCCTCTCAGGATCTTGGGCACACACGCACAAGCGCCCGGCGTGAGTTTAAGCCACCAGGTCCGGGACTCGAACCACAGTCAACTACATGGGAGTCCAGCAACATAGCCATTACGTCAACTGCTGATCCTGGTCCAGCAGTTTTTTGATTTGAATATTTGATTGCCCAAATGGAGTGTTCATGCAGGTAAATACAGGTTGGCGAGGGTCTTCCTTTCTGCTGGGTCAGTCAGGCCCAGAGCTCTGGTTACAGGTTTTGTGATCATCACTCCATCTAAGCGGGATGAGGGGCACACAGAATAGCCATGCAGGTGGGTGAAAAATCACAAGCCACTCCAGCAAAGGGAACAGGTGTGCTACGTTGGCATACTAGGACTTTGAAATAAGCAAGGAGTACTGCAGAAGAGGTGATGTCTGTACAAAACAAAGAGATATGAAGAACAGCCATGTCTGAGCAGTGTCATCAGACCGGGAGATGGGAGATGTTGCACCCAGACCCCAGATGCAGTGGGCTTCGTGAGATAGGTACTAAAAACTTCAGAGGCGGGAGACACTCCGTATATTGGTCTCATCAGATAGCAATTTTTCTGCCTCCTGATTACATAATTACAACCTGTGGGCGAGGCATCACCTCTATAATCAACGGGGACTGAATTCTCTGATCAGAAGGCTCTTTCCAGTTTGAGGAGTACAGTGAATGCAGCCTTATCTTCACCTTTGTAAAAACACAAAGCCCGTTTTATAAAAAGGACAGGATCATTGCTTCAGGAAGACCGTATGCCTCTCTGTAGCTCTGTAGCCTGCTAAGTGAGGCAGGTGCAAGGATGGAGAGAGGGCGCCTGTTCTTGGTCATAGGCTTTGTTGCAGGTCCAGTCTCATGGGCATTTGTTTTCCTGTTTGTAGATGCTTTAAAATTCCCCAGCCTTTTTCTGGGGTGGTATGGAGTTCCCTGTGGTCTCACAAGGAAAGAGCAGGAGCAAATGATCCCTGTCTAGTGTGATCCTGTGGACAACGACCTCCTTTCCCATCCGGTCAATGTGACAATCAGCACAGCCCTACGTACCCATTGTCTAGATGACTAAAGACGTCAGCGAGGGCCAGACCGGGGCAAAATTGGAAGACAGAGATGGTGTGTTGCAAATAGCACTGAAACAGACGCCATAGGGCCTGGAGCCTGGCTCTACCAGCAGGCAGTTCTCTGACCTTGGGCAGAGCACGTCAGTGTGCTGAGCCCAGGTTTTCTAGTGTGTGAAATGTAGGCACAATACTTCCAATACGTACAGAAGAGGAGAAAATGGAAAGTGCTTTAAGTAGATACAAAAACCAAAGTCATCTTCAACGTGACCACCTTCCACATTATGCTATCTCTCTCTCTCTCTCTCTCTCTCTCTCTCTCTCTCTCTCTCTCATAGATAGATAGAAAGAGAGAGAGAGACAGGTAGATCAGACTGGGAACTAGTCTAGTTAATTCATCACAATGTTTCCACCATGGGTTTTGCGTGCTGAGCAATGTCATTTGCATGCTGAGCAATGAATCTCTGATTTCAGGATTTCAGATGCTAGCATGAGATAGGGTGGAAGAATATGGAGGAAGACATATGTGTGTGGGAAGAGGAGAGGGTGACCGATATCCCTAGGTAGAACACCCTAAAGATAGCCAGGCTGGTTGTACAGAGAGCCTTGCAAAGCGCAGCCCCACAGACAATGTGAAATTCTGTCTCCTCTGCAGCCTCGGTCTGCAGTGACACTGGCAGATGCTAAACTTCAGCCTGTCTAGAACAGTTAATTAGGTTACACAGGCTGCCAAACAATACCAAAGTCATTCAAAGAAAATGCAATACTTTCAGGTCTGAAGCAAAGGTCAGAAGACACAAACACTAGTGCCATTTTAAAGAGAGAAACAAACAAGGTGGTGAAAGAAAAGCGAGGCAGGTCCTTGACAATCTGGCAGCTTCTTATCCATTTAAAAAAAATTTTATTGAGATCAGGCATAAATAGCCCCGGCTCCTTTCCCCAGTAATAGAGACTGTATATGCATAAAAAGAAGCTCCTGTAATGGACACTGCATATTAATAACCTGTTTCAGACAGCTCAATCCATGCCTCTTGGGACTGTATATCTTTCAGAGATCCCTTTTCTATTAGAGAACGGTCCCACTCGGGAGTAATGAGTCTGGAGAGAGGGAGGAGTTAATTTGATAAATGGAATCAAAGTGCAGAACAACTACCTGGGACATTGTAGGGATTCTTCATGGGTTGTATCAAATTATCCCAAAATAAGAACTGCTGTCTGCCCCCTGGTTCTCAGGAGTTGGAGAGGCAGTCTCAAAATCCTAGAGATCTGTTTCTTTCAAAGCGGTTACCTCAGACTGCGGGTGCTGGGTGCAGGTTGGGGGAGTCAGGGAATAGCAGTCCATAAGACTTCGCTGCCACCATCAGGCCTCAGAAGAACTGCAGCCCCAGAGACAGCCAGAGACTGACTAGAGGCGGAGCCCCCGGGTAAGAGGATAAAACTTGGGGCTGAGCCATCTTCACCCTGTGTCCACACACTTTGTCCCTGTCTCAAAGACTTGGCAAAGCTGTTCTTCCTCCCTGAAAGACAGGTGTCCCTGAGCAAACGTTCAGAGTGGGAATTGGAGCTCGAACTCCAATTCAGGCTCCAAACGCACTGTGCCACGCCCCTCCAGGAAACAATCCCACTTTAATCCTCTGAGGTCCTTCCTCTGGATGCTGGTGTATGCAGTATTTGCACAGGTGCAGCGGAGAGTGGCCAGAGACGGCAACAACATGCCTGCGCCCTTCTGCATCTCACTTCACCCCGGACCAGACCACGGCCCGGCGCCGTACACCTGGCCCCAGAGTCCGCTCCCGCCGCAGTGGGTCAACATCAAGTGGGGCCGACCCAGACCTTGCACCGTCTGGAAAAGTCGCTGAAGCGCACACAAAACGCACTGCCCAAAGCTAAATCTCACTTCTTGCGACCCCTCCCCCTTAACCCGCAGCCACCTGCACTTTGCACCAGGGGTGCTCTCCGCCGCCAGCACCCCCTGTCTGAACTGGCCCAGGCGCGCACCGGGTTTGCGCGGAGCTCCCGGCATCCTCGGGGCTGGCGGGCCCTGGAGCAGCTGAACAGGCAGCCTGAGAAGCTGCTCCGTAGGAATAGGAAGGACCCCCGGAGTTCCAGGGGCTCCGGAGGTGGGGGGGAGGGCGCCCCGTGGAGATCCACTCCTGGAAAGATCCCGCGACCACGCAGCGAGGAGCACGTGAGCGGCGCAGCGTGGCTATAAAAACCCCCTCTTGGACGAGCGTGGGGAGCGAGCGCGGCGGCAGGACGGGCCACCTGCGCCACGACAGACAGGGCGACCGTGCCCCACCCTCTAGGACGTCCGAGACGGTCCGTTGATTTGATGGGCAGACCCTCGGGGTCTCCTGAAAGCGTGCCTCGAACTTTAAGACCGGATTCACTGCACTTTGGCACAAGCGCGCAGAAGCCCTCACGCCTGGATTCCTCCCGTTGCTGAGGGCTCGTTTGACCTTTAGGAGAGTTGGCGGGAGAGGAGCCGGAATGTCGGGCTAATTGATTTCTGGTCTTCCACGGAGGAGGCAGCCCCGAGCGCGTGGGCTCAGCCACCGAGGAGCCCGGGGGGCCTCCAGGCGGCTCCCAGGCCCCCGCCCACGCCCCGCCGCCCTTTAAGCTGCGGGGTATT